TTAAAAAAATGTGTAATATACAGGGTGTTTCTAAATACATGCGACAAAATTCAGGAAATGAGTGCTCGTATGAAATTAAGATGGGTCTTTTCTATAACAAAATTTCCTCAGCCCACCCCTTTTCGAGATATCACCCTTAAAAAGTGGTGACTAAAATTGAGTTTTTATTTTTTTTCTAAAATTTCAGTAAAGCTAGAAACTTGAAATTCTGTAATCGCAAAGGACTAACCACGGGTATTTTTTTCAATATTTCTGTTACATTATAGGGGGGTGAAATTAGCAACATTTACTTTATTTCATATCAAAACTTTTTTTCGAGATGAACTTTTATGTAATCCTTGATTTATTTAATTTTTATTTATTTTTGAATTTTTTTTTCCAAAACCAATAGCTTCAGAGAAAAAAAATAACACCCTAATTTATTATTATTTTTTATTAATAAATTGGGTGGAAAACAGTGTAACGGGCTTGTAACTATCGTATCGTACACTCTGTCATTATTCGTTTCTTGCAATAATTTACACCAGAAGATAGCACTTAACGAAGCGTTTTAGCCACTAATTTTGGCGAATTTTAAGAAATCATTAACAAGACACTAGAGGCTTAAATTTGGGGATTATATTAAGAATAGTGCTGTCGAGGAATGCATTTATTTTCATTATGATATTTCAAAATTAAAGCCCTTTTAGTTTTTTTGGGAAACTGGAAGGTATTAAAACATTAAAATATATGCATATTATAGATATTATTGCCTAATTTATTTTGCCAAAATTTAAATATTTTGAGATATTCTTGTCCGATAATTATAAGGGGTATGAACACCTTAAGATTGAAAGAGAATTAACTTTAATTCATGAGATGCAAAGCATCATAATTGTCGCGTCACAAAAACCACCTGCTGCCAAGAGAAAATTTTGATTCAACAGTATTGTATATTTTGTGCTGTAAAAGAGAAAAAATTAACATTTCGTGTTTTAATAGTTATTTTTTTAATTTAATAATCTATGTGAAAAATTTTTTTTTTAATACAGACTTTAAAAAATTGTTAAATTAATATACTTATTTAATTGTACTTATATTTGTTGTTCCTTTAATACAATAAATACAATTTACCTATCTCCAATTCATCACTTTCCGTATCCATATACCTAGGGTCCGATTACAATTAGAAAAACACCGCCACGTCATAACTATTATTTCGAATTTCCAATATACAGGGTGTCCCGAAATTAGACGGTCATATTTTAACAGCGTAATCTACATCCTACAAGTATTAGAAATTAAAAATTAAAAAAAACCGAATTCAAAAACGTGCAGGTGCCGTCACCCAGAGCTGGGACGAATCCTCGAAAAAATGGATTCGAATCACGAATCCGAATCACGAGATGTGATTCGAATCACGGATCCAATGTTCGAATCCTTTTTCAAAATAAAAGGATTCAATCAAGGATTCGAATCCTTTTTTTCGGATCACGGATACGAATCACGAATCAGTGTTATACTGTGATAATAATTATATTTGCTTTCAAAACTAATACTGTTTCATAACTCGGTCCTAAAATATTTAACGCACTTCCGGTGGAATTTAAAAACCTAAATTCGATAGGTCTTTATAGATCTAAATTGCAATAATGGATATTAACTAAACAAGGATAAATATTTTAAGATTTTATTAATTTAAATATAACTAAAATCTAAAATCATTTAGCTAAAAAGAACTTTACTTATTTGAAATTATCCAATTATTTATGTATATGATAATTATTTATAAAATATTCAATGCTGTAGCTAGTTTGTATCTATAATAAATAAAAGTATTAGAAATTAAAAATTAAAAAAAAACGACTTCAAAAATGTGCAGATGCCGTCATCACATCTTAACCAAATTTATACGGAACCATCCCTGAGGTACCCCCTTACTAACAAAAAAAGAATCATATGAATCGGACAAGGTGGTAAAGCATTATCGCTAAACATACATAAAAAATGAAGAGTTTGAGGATTTTGTCATGGACCCAATTATTAGATTTTAACCAAATTTATATGGGACCACCCCTGAAGTACCCCCTTTCTAACAAAAAAAGAATCATTAAAATCGGACACCGTGTTAAAGAATTATCGCTGAACATACATAAAAAAAAAATTAAAAAAATATTGCGACAAATTGAGAACCTCCCTCCTCCTTTTATGAAGTCGGTTAAAAATAGGAGTGAAAGTTTATGTAAACATAGGCCCGAAAACGTTTCGTTTTCGAGATACAGGGTGTTACAAGTGAAGTCCAGATGAAATATTTTCTAAAATTTCTTTAGTTACCGGTTTTTCAAAGTAAAAAAAAATAAAATTTCTAATTCTACAGTCCTACTAATTATTGTTTACACTTTCAAATAAGGTAACATGCTTTTCTCTTGAAAATGGCGCGTCCTAGCGAGATGCAACAATTGTACATTGGTTTTCCAAATTTTATAGTCAAAAAATCTGATGTGTCCAACACATGACTTTCCTATCTAGTTATTATAGGCTTTTTCTGGTTATTTTGTACAACTTATTGCAGTACCTCTATAAATGTTTAGAGGATAAACTAAATATAGATATAGACATACAGACACACACGGCAATTTTACCCTAAGCTCCCCCTAATTTACCCACCTAAAAAGATGATCAATAATTGGGGTTTAGTCCAATAAATGAAGCGTAAAAAGGTAAGTATTTGTAACAAATTTTACCTAATTATCTTTAAACGTTTAGAAAATATTTACAAAAGTGTGGTATCAGGACTTCACCTTTAACACCCTGTATCTCGGAAAAGAAAAGTTTTCGGACCTGTTTATATGAACTTTTACTACTATTTTAGGATGTAGATTACGCTGTTAAAATATGACCGTCTAATTTCGGGACACCCTGTATATCATCTATAACTATCAATAAATAAAAAATATTTGAGATGTTTGGTTTAAAAATAGTATTCCTACATTCGTATATTAACAAGCCACTAACCCCCAGTAGGCGGCGATAGCCAACGAATTATACCTGAATTGTAATCGGACCCTTCAGGGTACGACACACAACATTGCCAAATTTATGTAGCGAACAAGGTTCCAAATACTTTAAAGGGAGCTCGTGAGATTCGTGCGGTGTGACGTCAGAAGGGACTGGATTGCTCTTAAGTAACGAATTGATTTCGAAGTGATTTCGGTGATGATTTCGACCATGATTTTCGATGGTTTCGTAAATTTTGAGAAAAGTTGTAGTGATTTTGAGTGAAAACGTGTATTTCGGGAATGGCTGTCTGAACCCTCGGCAGAGTCAAAATAAAAACTTTTTAAAATACAAAATGAAGCGAGAAGGTATTTAAAATACATTTTATTTACTGGAAAGTCAACTTTTTCATTGCAAAATCAACAATCCAGAGACGTTATTGGCTTCTCTTCATTCATGGTAAAGTTATGGTCAAAAATATTAAGATTTAATTTAAAATCAAGTTATTATTTTTCACTTGCATATATTTCCTAATTCTAGAAAAGGAGAATTACTTAATCTGTATAAAGAGGATGATCGATAAGAGATAAACGAAACAAGTTTCCAAGAGGAGTGTGGATGAGACAGTTGGGAAGGGTCGACCTCAGCAAACGTACTTCAATCAGATTGAGGAAGTTTTTAGCAAAGGCCAGCTTAGCAGTACCCTAATTAGGTTAACAATAATGTACACCTATATAGTTTAAGTTAAAAAAAAATTGTCTCTTAAAAGAAATTTCGGTCGTTCTACTGGAGTGGCACTCTGTATCAAATTGCAATGAAGAGGACGAAAGAGAAAGGGAAGAGAAAAAATCTCTCTTTTTTTCTGTATTGAAATTTGTACTCTGTAGCAATTTCTTTATTTAATTCGGTATGAATCGGGAGTTTCCGTCGCGAACAGAAATTTCTAAAATAACGAACAACTCGTCCTAAAACTGTTGGCCTAACTTCTATTTGACACATTAAATAAAAAAAGAAAGAATTTTAACTAATCCAATTTTTTAAATAAATTTGTATTATTCTGGATCAAAGTTCATTTTCGACTGCTTTTTAATATTTTTATTTACCGCTAATTCAAAGCAGACCCTGTGTTCAAAGATAAGTGGGGAAAATACAAGTGATTTCAGATTATACCAGTAATTTGACTTTCTATTTAATAATAATAATAATAGTTATATTTTAACTTTTAGATGAATCATGTCATAAGACATGTGATGCAAGAAGCCCAAAATGATCAACAAAATATGAATATTTTCTCTTTATTTTTATTAATATTGTGATTAATTACAAACCGACAATCCACATAAAAATAAAGTCAACTTAAAATGTCAAAACAAAACTGCCAAATCAAGTTCTTAATGTAAACAAAGAAAGAGTTATACCCCTTCCATACATTAAAACGAGACATATTCTTAAGCTACGAGGCCTTAGCGATCTCTTTCCCAGTGACAATCGTACATGTTCGGTTCAATCGTAAGTAGTCGAAGAGAGTTACAGAGTAGAAAAACGTCAAAAAAAGTCGGAATAGAGAAAATATATCTTGCCTTTCTCATATTTCTAGTTACGGAGTGCCGCCCCTGTTGCTATTTGGCTCTGTTGACTAATGAGTTTGCCGACCACTGGTCTATGCTAACGCGCATCGACGCGTAGGTGGATCTCGCGCAGCTGATCAAGTATAGTATTCGCCTTGGATAAATCTTTTGAGCGTGCTTATTATTTATTAAGAATGAAATATTGAAAACAAAACCGACGAAGGAAAAATGACTTCGTTTCAAGATATTTTTTTTTTTATGTAAACATTGTTGAATAACAACAAATTTTAACTTATATTCTTAGTCATAATATATTTTCGACTGTTTTTCTTATTTCCTTATTTGTAGCAAAATATTGATAAAGAAATTAAAAGTATTAACTGGATTATACATATTTACGTTTTAATTTGTATATAAAAGAAACTCCAGGCGATTTCAGTTCCATTAATTCATTTGCATGTAATTTAAAATATTTACAATGAAAATTTGTCTGTCGATTATTTTTATATTTTTTTCATTTGTGAATGCTAATGGAGGTAAGTTTAAAAATATAATAGATTGCATTGAACTAAATGTTAAACTGATCTAAAACCCCATATATAAAAATAAAAAAATGAGTCTAACATATATAAAATACTATCCTCTAAAAGTAGTCAGTGACATTTAGCAAAAATGTAAGAAAAATTAGTACAATGAAATCTTTCTGTACATTTGAAAATTACTTTTTTACATTTTTGTATAGAAACTACCTACGAGTATATACTTGCACTTGGATCACATCCAATTCCAACTTTTATTTTCCCACACAAACTACACATAGTAAATATCTATATATCAATAAATTAACAAGAAAAATAAATAATGAGAATTCATGCTATGTTTGGCATCTTTCAAAACTTTTATTTAAAAATACCATTTGTATTCATTTTAGGAAAAGATTCAAAATGCCAATGCGAAGATATCTTGAAGAAAATACTGGAAAAGCTGTATAAAAACTCCATAGAAATCCAGAACATTCAGAAAACTATTAAAGAATTGGAAGAAGATGTCAAAACAATTAATAATCAAGTCGATGAAAATACTGAAAAATTATGTAAAATTGAAAATCAAATTGAAAAGTTAAATATCGAACAAAATGGTATTTTAAATATTGTGAACAGTCATACTATAGCGCTTAATAACATTGATAGTTCTATAAAAGAAATTAATAAACAAGAAGAACATCTTGAAGAGATTTTGGAAGACAACAGCTGCCGGCTGAGTGAGCTGAAAATGATTTTGTTAGGAATACAGGACTGTGCATGCAATGATGATACAACTAGCACTTCTACTACTACAGAGACCACTACTGATCAAGAAACTACACCGCCGACAGAGACGACCACGTATGATACTGATATTTATACGTAAATAAACAAACGATGTAATGCTTATATTATGTTAACAAATTATTATTAATATTAATTGGTAGTTCACATAAATATTAATAAATGTACTCCAGTATGTCATTGGTTTCATATTTCGATGGCTCCTCCCCACATTCGACAAACAGTCTGTTCGAAGATAATAGAATGTGTCGATTCTGGTTAGGAAGAGGAGTAAACTGCAATATTCGTGCTGTGCTAATGCGAATGTCTATCAATTTTGAGAGTTGCTATCCTCAAAGGGCACAAATAAGAGATAACTAGAAAAGTACAAACTAAACATTGCTTCAATAAAATTAAAGGTTAATCAGACTAAACAAAAATGTTGATCAATAAAATAAATGACTCAAACTATTTCATTTATGAATATGGTCACTTAATACCTGTATTTCTTGAGTTATATTCAGAAATTTTAATGACCTCTTCGGCATGGCATTGACGTTAAATAACTACACCTCATTATTTAAAAATCTTTTTTAAAAGTTGTGAAGTATTCACTGATTTACTTAAAATGAAAGAAGAACCATAGGGAATTTAATGTATGAACAAATCAAGAACTCCATTTAAAAACAGCCTTTGTCATTATTACTTTCTGCGATTAAACCAACTTTTTCGTGAATATTCTCATGAAAGCAATCAGAATCAACTTCTCTCGCAAAACATCAGGAATATAAATCATCAAGAGTTCACAAATATCTTAATTTCATGTCTGGTGATGGGGTAACCGTGAGCCTGAATGTGGAGTTGGGGGCCAAAATATATAGAAAAGTTTCTTATTTTAGTTTAGGGTTGCATGAAACAAGTTCCCTCCTCGCTCACTTTTTTACAATAATAATTCTAACTCTTGAACTATGTTATAGAATAAATATTGTACTATTTAAAAGTTCAAATAAAGTCAAAACCAGTAAGAAAAGGACGTTCTCCTTGATAAGCAAAGTCAAAGCTAGAGAGTTGTTTTTTATGGGAATAATCCAAAACCTATTGTGGTATTATCAAAAGAAGAAGTTGTTTTCCAGAGGAAAATGATCGCTAGTACTATTTTGTGACACATGACTTTGATGTTTTCTAATTTTCCTTCTTCTTTTTAATATTCTATAACAATTTACAATATTATGAGAAGTTCATGCTCATTTTAAGCAAAAAATAAGCATTTTAAAGCTTTTTAAAGTCAAACCCAGCGAAAAGTAGATGTTGAAAAAAATACATACATTTTCTAAATCACATTAAAGAAATTAGCGCCTTCCAAAGATGCTTTTACATCGATATACATACATATATGATACTCTTTACCCCAACACAACTTCCGAGGGTGAAACCGCGGGATGTTCACTAGTTTATAATGTTAGTGAGATTTTGTTCAATTATTTGTTAATTATTATGCTTAAGTTAAATTTTCTGCGAATTATACTTGTCATTAAGCTTTACCTAGCAAGTAAATAAATCAGAGTTATTAAAATTCTGTTTTTTCTTTATCCAACCTATCACAGCAACACTAAGCCATCAGCTATCGAGGACCGGATTGATGACACTGGATTTGGCCTGGAGACCCCTGTACTAGACAATAGAAAATCTCTACTTTGACAAATAAATTTCTGAAATATTTCTTAATCGTAATTCCGCTTAGATTTAAAAATTATCCAATAAAATTTAGAAATATTTTGGCGGGATACTTCGAAAAATATGTAGAATGAAATATACTTTAAGCTGGTAGTAGATTCATTTTAATACCTTTAGCGGAATTTAAATGCAATCGGAAATGGTGAACCCTTACTTTTTATACTAAAAAGTACAGTGAAACTGCGGCCTTAAGTCGGACTATTTCTGATTGTTTCGATTGTTCAAATTTTGGACGTATTTTAGACATTCTGACCCATTCCGATGCATCGAAACAAAAACTACGATTAATAACCGAAAATGAGTGTTTCGTGTAGTTTTTCCATATTCGGCGGACGCCATGATGGTCTACTCGCGTCGTCCTTCTTGGGCACGAACAGATGTTATTAATGGCCGTGGCAATAAACGATTTGCAGGATGTCGTTAATAAAGGTAGAGCTACTTTTTTCTAACAGTTTCAAGATAGATTGTCGTGGATGAAAACTTTTCGTAATATCATGAACGATTTATTAGTTCTGTTTTTTTATACTGAAACTTAAATTGAAGAGATGCAGTGCTATCTGGAAAATTTTCGAAACTTTTGGTATGTTCAACACGAATTACTATTACCATTTATTAACGCTAGTAACTTTTTAACAAAGGTTGGTTTTACCGAATTCGACTATTAATTAAATACAGGGTATAACAAATCGATGGTATTTATGGTATACAGAGGTGGTATATACAAAGGAGCATGATTTGAAACTATAACAAGAAAAGGTAATTTAAAGCTGTGATAATAGTTTTCTTGGAAAAAATATTTATCTATATACAATTAACGACTAGGTTTGTTTACTTAGAAAAAAATAAAAAATAGGTGGGATTTTTTTCCTGAATAGAATAGTAACAAGGGTCAAATAATAGGTTTAGTATCATAACCTAAATTTATGTTTTTATAACAAGTTTATAGCCAATGTCCAAGTAATTCATTTGGGAATTCTAAATCAGCCAAGAAAGTGAGTATTTTCAATTTCCACTCTTTTTACTATCTGCAACTGCATACAGGCGAATCATGCAAAGAAATAGTTTGAATATCGAACTAGGTGGGTACTAGATATAGAGGTTAGGCAAAAAGTATACGAGCCATACTAGCCACAATTATTTTAGCGACAGTATGATAATATTCTTTTTATGTCGCCAGTCAACATATACATTTAATTCTTCAGTTAGTTTCTCATTTCATTTACTGCTCGGGTTTCATTAGACCACAATAGAAATATTACACTAAATCACATAGAAATATTAGGGTGTCCTTCCATCACAGGTTTGGCGCTTATTTAGAAAAAGACCGTGACATATTTGAGCCCCTTTTTTCGTTAAGTTTAGTAATTTGCCATTTTAGGTATTTTAAAATTTTTCAGAATTATTTATTGTTACTGTTGAGAATTGCCTTTTATTTTATTGGTTTTTTAGAATTTTTGTTTTGTTTTTAGTATTAGGCATTCCAAACTGAATGACTACCAATGGGTTTTGACAGGTTATGATTGGACAAAATTATGGCAACCCTGTAGGCCTGGTGATTTGACAAGATCAATGAAATAGATAGTTACATAGATTGATCATCCATATTTTTCAAAATAAACAAGCTTATGCCTTGAAGTAAAAATGTAAGCAATTATTATTTTTTAAATATCTAAAGACTGAAAATTGATTTTAAAATACATTTTTGCTAAACTGATTCAAATTAATAAATATTTGCCAGGCAATATGGCCGCTCGCAAACGACCAGCTTTGAGCAATCTATATAACTATCAGTACAATACAGTGTAATTTCTTTATATTAGTCTTATTCTCTCTAGCGGTGGCGGCTGGTAATTATTTAAAATGGGTGTTCACTTTTTCCAATAATTTTAGCATTGGTAAGTTCAAGTCAAAACTTTGTACAAGGTCTACTATCGCTGTTTTTTTTTATTATTTGAGTTAGTATTAACTGTAGTTATTATTATTATTATTATTATTATTAATATAATACTGTTTTTAAGCACTACAACTATTAATGAATGAATACCATTTAGGTAAGTACATAATATTAAAAATTAGTCAAAATGAGAAATGCTGTTTTGTATTGTAACCTCAGAAAAAGGTATATTGAAGATTCTTTCTTTAAGTAATTAATTAATATAGAGAATGAGTCACATAAAACTCTAGAAATGGATATGTCTGAAACCAGATAACATTTTAAAATTTAAACCTATTGAAAGCCATTTGATCGCTATGGGTGGGTGATTATCGAAATAAATGATCGATTATTTTCAAACAATCTATTTTTTTCGTATTTCCTTTATAATCGACTACTTGATTATCATTGAAAAATAAAAAATAATCGATTAATTAAAATCCAATTAACCGATAAATCAGTGTTTACAAATTAAAATCTAATTAACCGATAAATCAGTGTTTACAAAAAATAATAAACAAATTATCGTTAATTTTAAATAATCGATTATTTTCAATTTTTTTTCGTATGTACATTGTTCCATAAATTTTGAAAAATCGAAAATAAACGATTAACTGATGATTCGATTTTTCAAAAAACAAATTATCGAATATTTTAAATAATCGATTATTTTCTATCACTCGATTATTATTGATTATTTTTATTGTATTTTTTTTTTAAATTGATTATTCGATTATTTTCGAAAATAATCAATAAATTGAAAATAATCGATAAATCGAAAATAATTGACTAAAAAGCTGATTAACCGATAAATCGATCATTCGAAAAAATAACTGAAATATCGATTACATGAAATAACCGATTATATTCGATCAATCGATTATTAACACATAATCTATTTTTTCGTATTTTCTTTAAAACAAATTATTCGAATATCTTTGAAAAATCAAAAATAATCGATTAAAAAGCCGATTAAACGACAAATCGATTTTTCTAAAAAATCGATTATTTTCAATGGATTATTTTGAATAAACCTTTCTTCTTGTATTTCCTTTAAAATCGATTATTATATTATCTTAAAAAAAACGAAAATAATTTATTGAAAATAACGGATAAATTGATTTTCATAAAAAAATAACAGAATAATGGATAATTCGATTATTTTTGTAATTGGTCGCTTGCTTTTATCCGAGCATATAGCTCCGAAATTTAGAGATTCGCATTTTTTAAACCCGTTATCTTTGAAACCGCATTCAATTGTATAATGAATAATAATTATTGCTAGAATTTAGATTTTTTTGTAACTCTCGTAACTTTAGTATTTTTTTGCTTATACTAGATCATATTGTGTGTTTTACTTCGTTTTAAGATTCAAATGTCATTTCCGATTTGACCGCAAATAAGATGAACCTTGAAATTTAAAGTAGGTTATCCTG